TGGCAGCTGACTCCTTGCTTAAGGATGGGTGAGCAGTAGCCTGATCCTAGCAGTTGGCTCCACCCTCCTGCCACGAAACTAAACAACCCTCTCGAAGAGGTGTTCCCCGGCGAGTTCACTTCCTAACCATTCAAGGTTCATTTAAGGTTAGTGCCTAACCTTTAAACTCACATGACTAACATTTCAAGAATACATTCTACCCTAAGAACAAGGTAGAATAGACTCCTAAACCTTACATACGATCTATGTAAAGAAGAGGAAGGTTTTGGGTTCAACTCACCTCTAGAGAAGAAGAAGCCCTGCTGCAGGTTCGTACTTTCGAACGCAGATTTGGAAGCCTTCCACATCTCCCAAAAGTCAATTAAGTCTGTATGGGGGTACTAATGCTGTCCCTTAGGCCTCCCAAAAGGTTATTCCTTTTGTGTGGAGTGGGTTGAGTGAGGTGTGGATGATTCTCCACCAAGTCTTACTAAATAAGTACAAATGGGGTCCAACCCTTATCATTTTATTCTCTACACAACCCCACCCCATCATGGCCCGCCCCAAAAGTCAACATACCATATTCTCTTTGTCTCGTAAGTGACAAGGAGGTGTGGGACGAACCCCCTTCGGTCCAAGTCAGCCCGGAAGGAAAATCCTTACCGATAATTCCTTACGGAGGAAAATTGAGTCTTATTATTTGTGTCTTCGTAATGTGATTTCTCTCCATGTACTATCGGGATCTTATACTAACTAAGATGGCCCACATCAGTATTTGGAAACTCACTCTCGAAACACGGATCCCAACGATAGGTTAACAAACACAAGTTACATCAAACACTACTCGTTTCACACAATGTCAAAGCATGAGTTACATACGATAACACATGTGTTACACACGGCTGGTGATAATAAGTTCAATACATAAATTACGAAACTTTTAAACAGTACATTCAAGTACACACGGGTGCGGTGTCACATAACATCTCCCGTTTATAGTAATTCTATATTTATACAATAGACATGTAACAATATACGAAGTGCCATATCAAACTCGTGTCTCCATATTGCCATGGACCCGGTCTGTAACCGGGATTGGACCGGATCCGTTATGGCGGTGTCGGATCAAGACCGCCAGGCCATTAACTTGACCGGGTATTTGGGGTACCCGGTCTCGAGTACAAATTTTTGGGACCGACCGGGTACACGGGACAGGACCGGTACCCTCTTAATACCTTTCGGCCTCCGCCAAATAGGAACCAAGACTGGTCGGTGCGGAACCAGAACTGGACCCATGCCTACTATGTCTATGCAATAAAGGAAATTAAGACATTATTGTATGATATCAGCATTTTGAAATTATATTATTATTTTCAAATAATAATAGGAAGAACTTATGCTTTTATATTTATAACAACATACAAATAAAAAGAATAACAATAGGTAATAAATAATAATAATAATAATAATAATAATAACCATAAAAATATTGATAATAGTAAAATGATAATAATAATAATAACAATAATAATAATAATAACAATAATAATGATATTGATGATGATCAATGATGATGATGATGATGATGATGATAAAGTTAATGAGTCGTGGCCGAACTTTTCTGATATGAATTTCTTTAATCTAACCTAATTTGAATGTTTACGGTCTGATATGATTTAAGTAAAACAAAAATAAAAAAATAAGCAATAAAGTGAAATGATAATAATAGTAATGATTTTCATTTCACTAATAAAAGTGTCTATGACTAAATCTTTGCAGACACGAGAACTCGAAACCCTGCGGTTGAGTTTTAGTCATAATAATAATAATAGTAATAATAATAATAATATATAATAATAATAATAATAATATATAATAATAATGGTAATAATAATAATAAATATAATAATAAAAATAAAATAATAATAATAATAGCAATAAAATTTACATAAAGTTGAATTTTTATCTTCTACGTAACCCATAATGTATTGTACATAGGAAAAATTTATAATGCAAAATTAAGTGAAAACATTGAATAAAAGTGCCAAGGTCAAAGCAATCTAAGTTCATAGAATAATTAAAATGCCAAGGCCATATAAAGAATGTTGGGAACCAAACGTTTCAGTTATAACGGAGTTAGAGGAGCTATAAAGACTATGATGAATGGTATAATGACTAAAACAAAATGTACAAGTGTAGATTGCTTTAGTGTTACACCAACATTTTTATCATTTCTAAAATGCTCTAACTATCATTGGTGCTTATAATGCTAACTAGCGATTGCTCGCGCAAGGCGCAAGAGCATTTGCCCAATATTTAAGTATTTGTTTTCTAAATAACTATTACATGTGAGATTGTTGTGATTATTTATGATACATTAAAAAATAGTGCTTGAGAGTAGCAAAAAAAATGTGTAAAATAGTCATCACAATTTTTAATTATCTCTGAATAATATGTAGTATATATTTATAAGATTATAGTAATAGACTCTAATTGTTATTATGTATTATATTCATTGGACAAAGAAAAATCAAGGATGACATAAGCATGCTTATTTGGTAAATTTATAGTAATTGGTATATTTCTAACAATTATTATACATATACTCGTTTTTCACTTTTATATTATGGTTTCAACTTGTATAAAATAAGTATTCATATACACATTACTAATGAAGTAAATTTTTTTTGGAGAAAAATTAACTTCAATTTAATCATGATCCGTACAAAGCACGGGTGAATGACTAATTTTTAGGAATTAATTGTAGTTCTTTACAACTCCATCCGTCCCATTTATATTGTCTCGTTTTACCTTTTCGGGAAGTCTCACTTAAATTATCTCATACCATATTTGGCAAAATTTCTGTGACTCTAAATCATTCTTACTTTATTCTTACTTTATCAATTAATATCAACCACACAAATCCACATTTCTTAATAACCGTGCCACTCTCTTCTGTCCCAATATAAATGAGACGGAGGTAGTATTTAAACAACTTTTTTATAGATAATATTTAAATAACTTAAAATATGAACCAATGATGACAAAACAACAAATGATAGTGCTTTATTCCTTCAAGAAATATAGGTGGAAGCTAGAGTTGAACTGCCGTCATTTTAGCTAACGGAAGTATAAGGATAAATTTGACCATATGTAATTATGTACATTAATTATATAAAAGAGTACAAGTATTAATGCATACAAGAGACTGACACAATACAAGGGTACTAACCTATATTCATAATTATAATGTTTTTTAGATTTAGATAATGCCATATATAAAGAATGTTGGGAACCAAATGTTTCAGTTATAACGGAGTTAGAGGAGCCATAAAGACTATGATGAATGGTATAATGACTAAAACAAAATATACAAGTGTAGATTGTTTTAGTGTTACACCAACATTTTTATCATTCCTAAAATGCCCTAATCATCATTGGTGCTTAAAAGTTTTTAGATACTTTTAGGGCTACCATTCAGGTAAGCCTCCATATTATTCTCACAAACTAAACTAAAAGTACATACCAATTAAAAAAAACCTAAACCTACATAACTATAAAGATGATGAAACAGTTAATAATACAAGAGGGGGCGAATTGTGTGTGTGGAACCGTGGCAGTTTTTCACCAGGTTTTAGTGTGGAGCAACGGAAGAAGCAAAGTAAATGAGTACGCAAGGATTTAACGAGGATAAATCCATTAGCTCAAAAGGGATTAAAAAACCTCGACCTCACTCGGAGGAATTTGAAACAACTTCACTAAAGCCTTAAAATGGTTACAAGATAAACTCTACTAGTCTACCCTTGAGTCACGACCAACCCTATCCTCTCTAGGAAGAGTTGTGATTCTATACCTTGCGGGTAGAGAACCTCTCAGCTTTACAACAAAGCTTCTCACAACACACATACCAACCCGGAGGATGTTATCAGCCGATCCACAAAACCCCATTACAATAGAAGGAAAAAGAAACTATATCTAGAACTCCTGTGTGAGCTGTTCCAGGCGCTTAGTCTTCTTGGATGCTTCAATGGAAATCTACTTCTATATTTTCTTCACTCAATCAAGCGCACCTTGATCTTCATTTTTTGTCTCAATATATAGATACCCAAGCTTAATTCGTTGAGGCCTTCCTTCCTAGTATAGTCGAGTCTTCTTGCCTTGTTATAATCTGTAAACTTTGTTCATCAATGCAATAGACATTTCATCATTCTTGAGAGCTTCCATACATTTTCATCTATAGAAATCAGGGACCTAACAAGGTACAATTCATGTGCAACAAGGCATCATTGAAATGAAATCAAACACATGTCCATTATCTCCATGGCACTTGGATCTCAGCTTATTCTATCATAGTGATTCAAAAACCACTTTAATAAGATATATACACGCTGGATACTTGTCAAATCCTCAAAAGATGAAATCACAAATATGATATGTATTCACCTATTGAAATACAACAATTTCGTGGAGATCTATAAAGCAAACATTGACAGCTACATTACCAAATCATGCCGAGAGGATTGCACTATATGAAACTAGAAGAGAATTTGTGTGGGTATGATCTATGATTCAACACATCCAAAACCAATGCAGTATGAAGCCAATTACTTGTCATTCTACTGTGATCTATTAACATAACACAACATGCATAGCTCAGATTAAAGAAGGTTACATCAAAGGAGATATAATAAAGCACATTCACCAAAAAAATTCTCTACTTATGATCGGGAGAAAGATGGGAAGATCAACGTTCAACAAATCAAATCAAATGAAATTCCAGCTGCTCTTCACGAAGTCATTGCCGCCGAAGAAATTTATAGAACTTGTACATAAAATAGGCATTCGCCAACTCAAAAATCTATGCCAAGTTCAGGGAGATATTTGAATGCACCACACTCTTTTTTCCTTTATCAGGTATTTATCAACATGGATCTTTCTTGATAAGATAGGTTTATAACGAGATAGCACAATCAAATACATTGACATTACAAGTTGTACTCTTTCCCCCCTTAACATTGATTTTTCTCACAAAACTTTTCATAATAATAAGATAAGCATATATACCTATTCAAGGATATATGAACATTCAAGTGGGGGTGTTGTAAAATCCTGAACATTACAAGTGTGAATTGTTCATCTTGGTAATCAGGTCACTCATCTATTTTTAGTTTTCGTAATCAAGGATAGACAAATGACTTGATTTACCAGTTCCAGCAAAAGTGTGTAGAATTACTTAGGTATATATGATTCATCATCAAGCCCAATAAGTATAAATAGGGTCTCGATGAACTATTGTAAATTCATTTAGGAAATATCTTATGAAGAAGAATATCCTGAGATTATTAAATATATAGATATCACACTATATCTACTTTACACTTTCTTCATTTCACCACAAATATATATTATTAACTTACAATTATACAGTACAAGTATGCTACAAGAATGGTAAAGATAAATAGTTGATTAGACGAAGAAATTAGAAGTCATAGAAGCAGTTTGTTTCCTTCTAGGGGGTTGTCTTCATAATTTAACGTGCATGAGAAACCCTTGCGATACTTGGACGGTTTACAATGCATTTCAACATCCACTGAAAATATGGCACAAACGGGTCTGTGATCAGAGAATCTCGATTCCCCCCTTATATATGAAATCTGTTCCATTCCGTTTCCATGCCACAATATTCTGTCACACCTGCAACTTCATCATCATTAAAAACATAGAAGATATATAGTCGTATAAACTCCATGGTACCTGAGAGTACGAAATTTTACTCGTATATTTTAATCTCAATTATATAGAAAAATAATACATACATAGAAAATACAAAAGATTCTAATTACAAGATTTGTCTGTCTGAATTAAAAATAATTGATTTAGGATATACTTACTTGAACTAGAATTTTCTAGTTTGATCTGGTCTATTCTGAACTGGTCTGGTCTGATCTGGTAAATGTCTGGTCACTGTGTATTTTATAACTGTCCAAGTCCAGTCTAGTCTGGTCTGGTCTGGTCTGATCCGGTATGGTTTGATCTAATCTGGGACTCAAAACAATCCAAATAAAAACATCCTTAATGTCATTGGTAAATAATTTAAACAATACACGTTGATAATCGCAAGGCTAACCTTATCACAATAAAGAATACACATATTTGTTTCTTTAAACACACATGTACTTAGTCATTAAAGGATAGAAACACCTGTACCAATTAATGTTGGACACGATAACTAGATGTTTGACATGTTGGCCTTGTTTGGAAAATAGTTGTTAGCTGTTAGATGTTACCTGGTTGTTAGTTGTTTGTCTATGGGCGTGTTTGGCATTCAGCAGTTAGCGGATTGTCAATAGCGTATTCAATCAGCGGGTTTGACTACTGGAATAAATTGGCGGATTGTCAGAAGATGTTTGGTAATTTAGCTGTTTGGCCATACAATTAGTGGAAACGCCATTTTTCAAAACGCCAACCCAAAACTCTCCTATTAGCAGCGTTTTCATTTCAGCGTTTTCAGCCAAAAACGATAGTGCCAAACAGCTATTTACCAAACAGTTTTTCACTTTTTGAAAACTCTAAAAGTGATCAAACCGCCATTTTTCGACTGAAATGCCGTTTACCAAACACCCCCTATAGTTGGTTGGTTGCATTAGATGTTTTAATTTGGCTGGAAAATAAGCTTGTTGTCAATGAATGTCTGGTAAAATTAGTTGTTTTTAAATAACGGTTAGGATGTTAAAAGTGATAGGACACAAGTATACATTTAGGAGTTTATATTTTTATAGTATATGACTATAATTTTATAATTTTAGTAGTTAATTACTAACTTATAGTAATTATCGAAGATCGGCTTTGTTATCCCTTGGTCGCTGGTGCTCGACTGGAGTCCAGGTCAGACGCGGAGGGCGGAGATCGGTGGAGGAGGGCAGATTTGTTGTCATGGCTCGAGGAGATCGGCGATGTGGTCAAGGTTCGAGGATGCGGCGTTGTTGTCGTCGTTGGAGAAGATCGGCGCCGCCTGTTCGCTTACTCTGGTCGCACGGAGCAGGGATGAGTTTGGTTATGCAGGGACGGAGGATTGATGCATGGTCTTTGGCAGCCAAAGGTCATGGAGGATCAATTAGCATGGTACCAGTGGTACGACCTCCTCCTGAACCACCACCATGGGATGCACGAGGTGCTAGAGTTCGTGAACGTTTTTCTTGTAGTTTTTATCTGTTTGTTATTTGTTTTCTTGCGTCCATTTTTGTTGTTGGGTTTGACAGTTTGTTTGAGTTTTTTGCCTCTCTTTATGTCATTGGGTATGGTTGGATCTATGGGAATAGTTTTGGCTGTGTCAAGCTCACTACATGGTTAGCGATTCGTGTTGCTCTCTCAGGGGTGACCGTCTCAAAGTCTCACCATAGGGTTACAGTCGTAGTTGTTGGAGTTTCAGTTGGTGTCTGTTTTATTTTCCCTTTGCTTGATGTAATGATCCTGATGAATCTTTTAGTATGAATAGAGGCATGTTTTGATGATAAAAAAATTACTAACTTATAGTAAATAACGGTTAGGATGCTAAAAGTGATAGAAGGACACAAGTATACATTTAGGAGTTAATTATTTTGTTCACCCCTAATTTTAGGAGTTTATGATTATTTTATCCCCATAAGGTGTAATTGAAATGAGTGAAAAGGGAAACAAGATTAACTACAAACATGAATAGATTTTAGCAAGGCAAGTTCTCAAACACATTTTGTGCATTCCTTGAATTGCAAAATGCAAATCATATTTCCTATACCTATACAACATGTAGTCCTGCATATGCTTTATGCTTATGCATGCAAACAAATCCACAAATGATCATACTATCAACAATTAATCAAACTCAAAACTCATAACTGTAGTAACTTCTTATCAGAAAGACCTTTTTTTTAAATGCTATATAAGATGTAGACCTATCAAACTGAAAATAATGAGGTTAGTTTAAAAGATAGTTGGTTAAGAGATAAAAGAAAGTCTTTAGACTCTTCACTAATGAAGAGAGAAATACAGCATGAGTCTTGAATGGGTCTAGAGCAAATGAAGGCTATTAAAGGATATTGAAGAGTTTAAAGGATAAGCTACACGAAAACGCTGCCCTTTTCGGCGTTTTCATTTTCGGCGTTTTGATTCTCAACAGCTAATGAGAGAATCTGATTACCAAACAATAAAATCAGTTGTTTAAAGAGTCAAACAAGCCAAAAATTGGCCGATCGATCATTTTCCAAACACAACCATTAGGCTAGTAATATTTGAGATGAAGGGTATTTTAGGAATGAGGTGTATTTATGTGGAAGGATAGTAAGAGCTTAGAGAAAAGAAGCTATTTTGTTGATCGGAACTTGCTTTTGGTTTGATACAAATGAGGTTACAACACACCTATTTATAGGTGCTAATGGAAGAATCTAGATACATTCATTAATTACACACTGTAGATACATTCATTAATGACACTTTCTTCGCAGGACAATTCTAGAAATAGAATTTTCTAGAATGTAACCTATCCTATTGGGTTTAAGTAATGGTAAACTACATTGACTCAAATACTTATTAATTTTAAATGGGCTAAAATACAAGAAGTGGACTAATCAAGTATATTTTCAACACCCCCCTAAAATTGATTTTCTCATGCCAAGAAAATATCTAAAGCTTGTAAAGTCTTCACAGTTGAGTAGCTTGGTGAGATTTAGGGGTGAACAAAAAAATCGAACAGTCGCAACTGAACGTGTAACACCGTCCCCAAATATATTTACTTTTAAGTAAATGATGTAATAAACCTTGTGGAATGATTTATGAATTTACGAAGTTGTAAAATTTTATTATTCCTTCGCGTGAATAGTAAATTGCACGTGGATCCCACACCGGGAGCGGGGGCCGCCCGATATTCCCGAGATCACATAAATTATTCTTATGGGTCGAGATAATATTTTTATAGTATGGATATCTTATTTGGGCCATGGGAAGGTCTGGGGTTGACCGATTGGTCAAAAGAAGCCCAATTACCGGTACCGACAATTTAACAGATAGCAGCCCGGAAATGAATTTCGGAGACTTCCAAATTAAAGTTTTGGAATATATATTATTTCAAAGGGTCGTTATGATTGAGAACACATAATATATTTTATTTTACCCGATAAAATAAAATATGATTAAAACAGTCCGAAAAACACAACTTTCAGGACCGATTGTACACACCGGGACACAAAGGGATGACCTCCCACATGAGTGGGGGACACCCCACGTTTTTGTGTGCTCAACAAGACCCATGGGGGATGGAATGACAAAAGAATATGTGGAGGAGGATTATTTGGCATCTATAGTACCAAGAAGGACCCCTCACCCTCTCTTATTTGTCATTTGAGACAAAAGGGTGTACCCTCTCTCACCCCTATCATTAAGCTCGACCAAAGCATCAAGGAAAGGAAAGAGAAAGCTCTCAAAACCACCTCCATTGTTGCAGCACGAGCTCAAGAAGAATTGGTCCAAAGAAGGAGGTTTGAGAAGGAAAAAGTTAGGAGAAAGTGAGAAGAATTAAGGTAATGACCTTATATTAACTTTTCCTTTATTTTTATTCTACCATATGAAGTATATATCATATGAAGGACCTTTAGTATGGTTCCACATGTTATAAGTATGGATTTGTGGGTTGGAAGGTGGTTCTACGTCCAAGAACGGACTTAGAAGCCAAAACGACCGGTTCGCCGGAAAATAGCCTTTTAGAGGTTATTTGTATTAATATGGGTTTTATGATTATAAAACCTTGTTAGGAACTTGTAAAAGGCATTTAAAGAACTTTCACAAAGTTGAAAAAGTCTCCGGAATGGTCGCCGGAGTTCATCAAAAGTCGTCGGAGTTTCGCCGGAGTTCAACCAAGAAGGGTAGAACTTCATAGCGCTAATTCGAGGTGATTGGACGGCTTAATATCTTATAACTTTTGGGTTAATTATGAGATTACCTAAATAAATGTTATATGTGTTCATAATGATGTTTAAAAGATATTTAAACATGTGATTAGCCAACATGGTTAAGTTTGTATGAAAGGAACTAATTGTTTATGCATGAAATATGATATGAGGAATTATATAAAATGCATATTTGCTTGAAGTGTAAGAGAAACACAAATGAATATTATTAACTTAATTATATGATGATTAAGTTGATACGTACAAGGCTTGAAATGGCGGTCAACGAAAACGTTGACCGATGGATAATGGATTAATTAATACCGGTTGGTATTAATTATAAATTTATATAAATGCATAGCTTTGCATGGATTGTGATACGTAAGCTTTATGTATTGATTGAGCTATGAATGAATAAATATGATATAGACTCTATCTAGGTTGATAGGAGGTTGATCATAGGATTATAAACTTGGTGGAGGACCCTAGGACTAAAAGTCCTTAACACTCATATTGTAAACTTGGTGGAGGACCCTAGGACTAAAAGTCCTTAACACTCATATTATAAACTTGGTGGAGGACCCTAGGACTTAAAAGTCCTTAACACTCATATTTTGGTGGAGAACCCTAGGACTTAAAAGTCCTTAACACTCATATTATAAACTTGGTGGAAGACCCTAGGACTTAAAGTCCTTAACACTCATATTTTGGTGGAGGACCCTAGGACTTAAAAGTCCTTAACACTCATATTTTGGTGGAGGACCCTAGGACTTAAAG